ACCTCTATTTTCTCTATGTTCACCTGAAATCCTATCTTTGATGCTTCTTCTGCCAGCGTGTTGCTTTTCATTTGCACATCTTCCAAGTTGTTAGAAATCAGACATATCTTTCTGTCTGGATTCAACATAGAACTTGGCACCGAAGTGCAGCAGTTCCAGTTGCCACGTTCCAAATAGCACACAAAGGTAGACAAGAAGATGAGTGGAGAGAATCAATAGAGTTTTGACAAGTATAAGAGTGAAACAATGAGTAATGGTAGAAAGGAATATGAAAGATTACAGAGACTGAATACATCTGCGCCACTGACAACGATTTTGAGCCATGTCACCTATTGTCTCCAGCCATTGACTCTGAGTCCAGAGGGCCCCGACCCGGAAGTCTGCATCTCCCTACCTGACTCAGGGAGATGAAGACTTCCGATATATATCATCGGCGAAATCCAGATCCTCCAAGTTTTTTGTGTGGGTCTATTTTATGCCTGTTTCCTCACTGCCTGCTGTCTGTCACATCACCCAGTCTACCTAGTTTTCCAGGCTGAAGTAGATAGAGTAAGATTTAAGCCCAGGATCTATTAGCTGAAATTCGAGTGATTATACCAATGAGACATAAACTCCACCACCATTACCGACCATCATTTATCATGGCTTGAAAGGTAAGCTTATGTAATTTCCAAATATTTATATTCAGCCACTGAGCATGTTGTTAAACTATGTAATCTATCCTCTAGCTTCTTTTTCCTGCCTTGGTTTATTTGAACATTAAATCACCCCTGGCACTATCAACATTTGTATATGTGTAAAGTTTGGGCACTGTGGTAGTATGCAACTCCATATTAATTTGTTTACTAGACACATCCAGTAAATAATAATGTTTCACTGTGTGATATATCTAACAAACAAATCAACGCAGAATATTACCAACAATTAGTCAAATTTAAAAACTAACAAATTTTTTTGTGGACCCACAAATAAATACGAGCACGATACTTTCAAAATGTCGATGTTCAAAACAGTATGCAGTTCATATTAATTCACACAGTTGGCTGCACTCTTCATCGACGCACGACCCAAGTGATCCACAGCTCAAATTTGTACTCCAATAATCCTACACATCGGTTATCCAAATACATAGAACTAAAGGTTCAAGGCTACAACTCGGGCACAAGTCTACTATGCCAGCGAACATGCAGTCCAGCACGAAATCAGGTGCATGCGGCGCAGCAAACCCATGAATGGCAAGCCGAACAGGATCGCTTTAACAGGCGTAAAAGGGGATAAACACTATCATGAGGTGAGGCGCATGCCTATAGCGCACAGCCTTCTTTAAGCCTTGCACACAACTATTAGGTAACGTACTATCTCATCACCTTTGGCAGATCTAACAAAATTAGTCACGAGAACATCATCAAAGCACATGACAAGTTAGGTACTCTGGTCAAAAACTCAAAATTTTATTAGGATATATGTATGTATTAATCCCGTAATCTTTCGGGCATACATGGTATAGTGCTGATTGACTCGGCAGGCGACCAGTGTCATTGATGGTGTTACCAACCTGCTGTCTAGACCAACTACCATCTGTGCTTCAAAGCTATATATTAGTTTCATTAATATACAAATGAAAGTTAAACAATATGGTACAATATAATTCCATGATCGAATAACCCATTTGACACAGCACGCTGATATAGTACGATTCAATCACTGATAACTTTTGAGTACGATTTATTGCTCGCAGTCACATCAATCCACTTACTTTCTGATTTCACTTGTTCGTTTGATAAATTGACTGAATTTAGTCGTCACCAACCTACTGTTCTAAATTAAAAAACACATTTCACATCAAATCCCATATTGTCAGCTTAGTTCAGATTAAAACACCTCAAATCCATTAGTACCAATACTGAATATCATCAAGCGTCAATAACATTATGAAGAAAACAAAGGCCGAAAACTCTAAATAATTACAAGTTCTTTACCCTTAATCACTATCTATAATAGTTTGATAAGGCTCGTGTAGATTATCCGTAGCCAGTGGATACTATACTTTGAAGAAATTGTTCCCGTAACTTATGAGCTCATACATAAAACTATCAACGTACATGCATTTTATATCTTTATTTAGACTATACAAGTTTATCGAAACTACGTTTTATTTATCAATAGGATTTAAACATGAAGGTACACAAATATCTCCGTTTAAAAATTCAGTTGTTTTGTCCAACTACTCATATTTCTCACCTGATATTACAATTTGTTAATGTTTACCCACTGATGATGTATTAAATAACCTAAGCTCAAAAAGTAGTGTGACCATTTGTTCGGAAACATACCTAGTTTCCTAGCTTTCTTCATCTTCATACAGTGGACTGAAACAAAACGACTATTATTAGACTTTACACTGCTACTTCTATATTTGTCACTTTAACCCTTTCTTAATAGCAAATGTGATTATTGACTAAAACAGATTCAGCAGCATGGCGAGTGTTTTTAATGTACTAAATGAAAATATTTTAAATTAAGCCGCAGCAATTTGGGAGTATTATACATATTTGCCAACCCTCTAACTGAAATCAATCACTGTAACGAGAAAAGTTTAGGTGTTTCAAAATCTCACTGAAAGTTAACAGAATTTAGGTTTTGTGACTTACTTTAGAAGTGACAAGATGAAATTCTTTACAACCAGCAGCAGAGCTCAATTCGGCAATACGTATCACATAGTCATGATCAATTACTCTCATCTTCTCCTTTCCTGATTTTTTCAATGTTGTTCCAAGTGCACAGAATCCAATGTCAGTACCTTGAAACACTTCCTTGTAGTCATCCAGACGGTCAAAATCTATAACAACCTGAGTGAAACGATTTTCAATTTCTGTAGCCTCAGATCCATAATCAACCTCAGTTTTGCGTCTTTGTATTAGTTTGACAGAGCTGTATCTAGAATCTTTGGCCAGTGCTTTTATCAATGCCTTGCCTGTCTCCCCAGTGCATCCAACGACGAAAGCTCGCAAACTGACCATAATTTTCCAAAATATTTATTTTGACGGTAGGAATTTACTGGAAAGGCACTTGAGTGTTCTAAAAATAGAAGCAACACCACAATTGAAATCTGCAATGTATGAACACAGAATTGTGTATATTATTAACTACAGATCAATCAAGACGAGTAGCCGGATAGTCTAATGTAACGTGTCAATTACAGTTTTATAAATTAGTTAAAAATCAACTACTTGGAACAGATATTTTTATGTTTCAGGCTATACACCAAGCTTATAGTCTAACATCCGATGTTACCCAGTTACCCAAGATTACAATCCACTATCTACCGTCTGAACGTTGGGTCCTAAAGGGAATGAAGTACAGCAAATACTTTTTTTAATGAATATTGCACTTTTCATTTCTCATGAGAAGAATTCGTAATCATGGAATGCACTATTTTTAATGATAGCTTTCAATTGCCTTATTTTTTTTTTTGATATTGTACAATTTCTGATCATAGTATACTGGAGGATAACGAAACATGAAAAAGATGAAAGTTGATTTGAAAAATCCAATATGTACCAACATGGCAAAGTGTCAGACATCTCAAATTCTATAAGTGTAAAACTTGGGAACTGTGGTAGTAAGTAATTCTATATTAGTTTGTTTATTAGATATATCACACAGTGAAAGTATTATTTACTGGATGAACAAAATATTTTGTTCATAATAATAACAATTATAATCACACGTCCTCGAAGTCGTGCTTTCAATCTTAAAAGCGTTACACCCATGTCAAATTAAAAGGCGTCGAAATATTTTCAAATGAGATTCACTTTTGAAAATGAAATACCAGACTAACACAACGTAAAAATTCCGTTAAAGCAAAGAACACATAACTGATAGGCTTGTCTGTGCAAAGAAACCTCTAACAAAAGTTACCATCTTATGACTACCGGTTTCGAAACACCAGATTAGGTGAATCTTATTGATTCATTGCAAAAACTTGGCAAAATTCAGAAATGGAAGTAATTAATTGGAATATCTATCTTATCCTCTTGCTCTCGATATCGCGCTGATTTATAATTTCTGATGAGCTTTCTCCCTTGTATTCCCGAGTCTACAATTATGCATAAATAACGTCAGGGAATGCGAAAATGTTTTTGCGAGATGAAGCAAGGACCATGGAATGAAACGACTTCGAACTTTGCCTTTCTCGCACCCAATGCCTTATGTAAATATCCCCTGCATACTCTCAACACCCAAGCCAGTTTATTCAGCTACATTAGCCGACATAAATCCACGACAAGCGATATCTTAGATTCAATGCCACTTGGTGTTTCCAGGGAACAAACTCAGTAATTATGAGTGATCTTAAATTTCGGCTTTTAGAATAACCAACATTAAAACCTCGATAAATCTTTCAAGTGCCAGCAATAAGTTCAATTTACTATTCAATGACATCATAATGATTATTATTTTTCATAATTTTGATTTGATTTTTGATTACAGCTTGATTCCACACTGTATTTTTGGTACTAGTATGATATTTTCAGCATGTGATACCTGTAGCCCAAATTATTATCTATAAAGATCATGGATAGCAGACGAAAATCGAAGTACGAACGCGACACACGAGAAACTCCTGCAATCAATCTTCGCCATACAACGAATGTACTCTGTCATTACTACGAAAACGTACTGTGGCACAACGGGTTCACAACAGGCGCGGTTGTTCGACCTTCAGAGAATTTTAAATTACCACCAAGTCCAATACAAATCTTGTCCAAGAATTAGAATGTCTCTCCCCAGTAAAAAATGCTTACTGTTAAAATTGTGCATGGAAAACGGAACACCATACTCATTCTATTAGGTTCAGACTACTGAGCTTTAAAAAGATATTCTAACGATGATTTCCCTTCACCAAAGAAGAATTTTCACCACTACCTGCACACCCAGGCTGCCCCTTCTATACCCGATAAACCATTCAGCGCCAGTAATGAAAAGGCTAACACCACAAAAGATACTTACTAGGAGTCGAAAACCCGCAGCTCAAGTTACCCAAGGACTTGTAGATCAAGCCTCATCTCAACAATAATAATAATGGCTTTATTCCAAACAGTATTTGAGGTACAGGTATGGAATTTTCAGCGTGCATTACAATATTGCATCTAATTACCTCATAAATTTTATAAGATTTTAAAAATAAAAAGCAACAACAACAAAAAGAAAAAAGAGAAATAAAAGAAATAAAAAGAACAGCATTGCATTCACATATTTAAACAGTGCACCACAGGATATGAAATATAAAATTAGTGTGTAATAGAATATATGAGCAACTATATAATAGTAACAAAGAAAGGAGAACAAAAGCTAATGGGAACTATTTGTTAGAGTGCCGCAGTAAGGTGATCGTATCATACCTAACAGTTTTCTCATCACATTACAGCTGTGCCAGATAAGGTATTGTGGAGTTTTTATACTTGGTAGTCCTGGCATATAGCTTCCTGTAGTTGCTTCTAGTTCTACTAGATGAAATGCAAGGAGAGAGCTGCGTATAGAGAGGGTGTTCGGGGTCTGACAATATAGAATTCGCTAGTTTATTACATGACATTATATGTCTATCCACAACGGTGTTAACCAATTGGTTTAACGAAATCCCACTTGCCCTACTAACAGCTTTTAGTGCCCTACGCAGCGAAGCAAAGTCTTTCTTAAGTAGTCCAGGAAAGATTAATGGGGAGCAGTAAGGAGAGATGGGTAGAATACAGGAATTGACAAATTGAGAAAGCAAAGACTGCTTTATACCAGACTGCCTTAACTTCCTAACGTAGAACGTTAAGCGAAACATCTTTCTAGTAACTAGCAAGATGTGAGAGGACCAGGAAAGATCGGAGGAAATACTCAGTCCAAGGTACTTGACATTAGATGTAGTTTCAACCTCTACGCCGTCAATGATAGTGGGACCATGTGAGCTAGCTAGTTGTTCTAGGTCGCGTTTTCGTCTGAAATTGAAACTGACTATCTGACATTTAGACAGATTTAGCTTAAGGCCGTTTGAAGAGGACCACTGACTAATTTCCGAGAGAAAGTTATTTAATTTGGAACAGTCTGACTGAGAGTTGACAGGCATGGAAACAGAGAGGTCATCAGCATACTTGACAAAAGTGGCTACATCAGAATGGGGCAAGTCATGTAAGAAAGAAGAAAACAGAAAAGGAGGAAGAACAGCACCATGAAGAACACCAGCTAAAGTAAGTGTAGTAGTGGAGGACTATCCATTGTAGACGGTGTACTGCTTCCTATCAGAAAAGTAGGAATACAACCACTTATTTATCCAGCTCTCACTCTGTGTTGCAGCAAGCTTACGTGGCAAGAGTGACCTAGGAACAGAGTCAAATGCAGATGTGTAATCGAGGAAGGCACACCTAACGTATTTAGCTCCTCTATCTAAACTAGAGACTATATTATGATATAGAACTACAGCGGCATCTGAGGTACACCTACTATGTTTATAGGCAAACTGGTTGGGGTCATTAAAAGTCTTTAAAGAGGGTTCAAGATTAAGTAAATAAATAAATAAATAAATAAATTTATTCTCATAGTACAGTACATGAGGGACGCCAGTTTACAGGCATCATCAAATTGTTACAGAAATAGAACCATATAATTTAATCACAATTTACAGCCAGTAGCAAGATATGCTTTACATGTTCGATAGAGATTATACATACACTTGATAAATGTTAATTCCAGTAGTATAAAACAGCCTTTTCACTTATATACAATCATTTCTGTGCAAAGTTGGAAAAATCTGCTAGATTGTCAGTGAGTGCAATACAACAGGAAATACAAGAGTATTGTCTTCGCATTAACAAAAAAACCAGGTCTTTGGTGGATGGATTATAAGTGCCTGGGAAAAAAAATAAAGCTTGAAGTAAATATTCATACATAACTTTGTTGTGTGCAGAGTCCTCGAATTATAGTTCATTGATGTGTTATTTTGAAATCAGTGATGTGTTTATCTCATTTGATCTGCAATGTCATTGTTGGGAGTAAGTACATAAGCTTCGGACGCATTAATTAATGGATTTCTACTGCTTACGGGTATTTTCTTAGCGTTAGGAAGGTTTATGAGTTTCAGCTGTTCCGACAGGAGTTGAGAATATTAACTGCTCAGCAACATTATGGGTATAAGTTCATCACATTATCTAAGGAAAGGTGGGTTGCAGTTGGTGAGGGATATATGGTACCCAACGAGCGTTCATCTGTCCTTGTGATGTTGTGGTGAGTTATACCTTTTTCATGTTGTCGGTTTATGTCCATTTTATTCCACTTATTGTGTTGGGTAGTAGTTTTACAAACGAGATTTGTTGTCTGTTTGAGGATACGTATGTTAACCGTTAATGTTTTGTCTAGAATTATAAATATAGGCAAAAAACAACAGGTGTAGTATTTAAGCTTATACATTAAATGGACCTATAATTTCGGAGGCTCTCAGATAGGAACTAGAACTAATATCGTTTGCAAACTCTTGTAGTTTGTCATTAAGCACCTTTTTGAAGGAGGCCAATGTACTTGCTTGACGCATTTCCATTGGCAGTTTATTCCATATCTGTGCATACCTAATCAAGTAAAACTTTTGCCTGGTGGCTGTTTTACATTGTTCGATAGCTACTGTACCCTTAGTGTGTCTTAGTTTGTAGCCATTGTCATCTGAAAGTCGAGTGCCATTAGTAGAGGTAAAAACTAAGTGGTTTAGAAGCTTATAGTAAAGTGTCAAGTTTAGTCTCAGGCGTCTTAGCCATAGTGTTTCTAGTCCTAGGGTATCACATCTAGTGGAGTAGTTCGTACCATTTCCGGTTCCGAGTAATTTTAACGTGAAGTACCTCTGCACTCCCTCGACTTTCAATTTGTCCTCTATGCGTATGCTGCTATACATGAATGAACAGTAATCAAATAAAGGACGCACACAAACCTTGTACAACAGAATTCTAGACTCATTTCTGTAGAAGTTCCTGAGTAGAAAGCCGATAAGTCTGCGTGACTTTGACACTTGTTTGGAGATGTGTTCAGAAAATGATAAGTTATGTGAATATTTCAGCCCTAGGTCCAGTACAGATTCCAGTCGTTGAAGTGCATGGCCTTGAATTGTCAGGTCAAGTTCTAAATTGTTGCAACCTATGCAGAGCCAGCCACATTTTTCGACATTAAATTGGAGTTGCCAGATGTCACACCATCTATCCATTTTTTCTAATTCTTGCTGTATGGCGTTTACTGTTATTCCAAGATCTGTGTTCTTGCATTTATACGTCACTTTTAAGTCATCTGCATATAGTATTGGTTTACCTACACTAAAGCATTCACAGATACTGTTTATATATATTATGAATAAGAGTGGGCCTAATACACTTCCCTGGATTACACCACTACTTACTGGTTTAGGCCTTGAGATTATCGAGCCAACTTTCGTTGTCTGACTTCGGCCACAGAGAAATGATTTTATCCAGCTCAGGAGAGGATCACATATCCCTAGTGAGCATAACCTGCTTACTAGCAGATTATGGGGAACTCTGTCGAAGGCTTTTGTTATATCGAAATAGAGCACAATTACTAGTTCTCTGTTGTCCCTACTTCGTGTAACTTCATTGAAAAAGTCTATGTGACAGGTCACGCATGATCTCTTTTTGAGAAATCCGTGTTGTGATGGATTGATAAGTTCATGTTCTAGTAAGTTGTCTGACACTTGGTCTTTAACCACTTTCTCCATTATTCGGGATATTACCGGTGTTATATTGATAGGTCTATAGTTGCATACACTGGTTTTGGCCCCTGCTTTGTGCTTAGGTAATATGTATGTGGTTTTCCACACTTCAGGATAAGTTCCAGTTTCTAATGAGAGAGTAAATATTCTAAGTAACAAGACTACCATTTCCGTGCTACCATTTTTGTACATGACAGATGGTATGTCATCTGTTCCAGTACTACCGTTAGACTTCAAAGTCTTAATCGCTGAGTCTATATTTTGTATATTAAAGTCTATTCCGCCTAATTTGTGGTTGCTTTTGCAAGTCATTTGGAAATTTGGGGTTGGGTGCACTCTGGCGTCATTGCAAAACCACTCATTGAGGAGTTCGCTTATAACCTGGGGATCACTGTGTATTATACCCTTATGCTCCAAGCTGCTTACAGTATTGTCTTTACTACTTTTTAGACGTCTCTGCAATATCCTACAAAGTTCCTGAGTTTTGGAGTTGCCCACAAGCGCTTTATTTTCTTCAAGTTGTGACCTCATTTTGTGTTTCTCTTCAAGCCGTTTAAGAGTTTCATGTATTTGGTTTAACGCATTAAATTCCTTAAATACATGGTATTTCCTTTTCAATTTCTTTAGTTTTAGTCGCGTTTTGCGGTCTATAAATGGAGTTGGTGTCTTTAGAGCAGATTTTAGGGGCGCGATTATGTCTCTTGCTGAGCCAATTGTTTTGTAGAAAATATCGAGTGATACTTCTAAGTTATTGTTAATGAAGTATTCTTCCCAGTCAGAACTTCTCAGCAGATCTGATAGGAATTCCCAATCGGCATTCTTATAGTCCCTATACTGATAGTGCACCGGGGAATTTTTAGGTGTGTGTTTAGTTGTTAGTCGGAATGGTAGCGTGCAGTACAATATGTTGTGATCACTGTTATCAAGTTTATTTCCTACCTCTATCGAGATGGGCTCAATTTCATGACAAAGGATTAAGTCAAGAGTGTTTTCATTTCTTGTAGGGAGGCGTACGCA